TATATTTACATTATTTATATGTATGCCTACAATACGAAACCTACCATTATGTACAAAAATGATAATGTTTACTTCAAAATAATAAAACTATTATTGCATTTATCAACATGTTACTATTAATTCGCCAATTGTAATGAAGATAACGGATCTTTGTATTTATTAAACCGTTATCACGATAATACATAATTTAACCGAGAGAGAATCATTACCAAATATGAGTGTCAGAAACTAGGCCGATGGCAGTGTCAGAAACTACAACACAAGAAATTTTAAGTGTCAGAAACTGGGTCTTCAAACATCACTTTTTAAATCATTAATTAAAATTACTAATTCGCTTCAAATAATTATATCGCGTATATGAGTTTTTCTAGAAACTCTGAACTTGTTTATAGTATAAAAATTATTTATTCTAATTAAATATTATTTTAGTTATCGTAATACAATCTCAGCTGACACTCTTAGAGTGTCAGAAACTGGGTCCTTTACCTTAGAACACTAGTGATCGTGTGACCGAAATTTGACCAACTTGTTTTTAAATCAAATAATATCTATACATTTTACACTTATACCAGTCGATTAAACTCAACTTTTAACACTGTTAAACAGTGATAAACGTAAAATTGTTCTAGTGACGCGAATTCAATTGTATGAATTTCCTTATAGCACGTCGTATTTTTCAAAAGACGGTGCCGCCCGCTAATAATTTTCATGGTAATAGAATACCCAATACTAGGTTCTCATAATGTTGTGTATGAAATTATATCTCAAAAACATATTCCAAAGTTTTTATTAGCACCCAAACCTGAAATTTTAATGTACCCCTTTATTTAACACAAACAGCGTTTTGTAAACATGTATTACATAATTATGTCATTTCATTGAGCTGTTTTCTATTTTTCTTCTTCCTTACACTTAACCCCAGTAGCAATTCAGCCTGCACTTATGCAGATGTGAATGTGAAGTAAAGTGTAAAAACTTTAAATGCCTTTGAACTTCGGACGGATTGAAAATATAATAGGATTCGACGAAGGACAGAACCGCTGATAAATAATTCATGGTAATATTTTTAGATGCGTTCATTAAACTGCATATTGTATTATTATCCGTATTAAGTAACTTACAATTAATTAAAGAATGAAACAGGTGCATTATGAAGATTTATTCAGAGTAAAGGAACTAGGAAATTTATAATATTGTAGCGACCACGAGCGTGATTGTGTGAGATCGGGCATACGTGTGTGTGTGAGCAGCTTATCGATTCGCCGACTAGCCGCGGGCGCTTTTCTTCATGTGCGCCGTATCTGTAAACGTGTGTCGTCCCTGCGTTCCGGAAAAGCAATTAAACCGTTCAAAGAAAACGAGTCTTCTCTGGAAGACTGAAGAACGTTCCCGAAAGGAGGCAAGGGAGTATAAAAAGGAAGAGACGATCGCCGAAGTAGTGTAGAAATAAATTGACCGTTGACGAGGTGAATCAAGAGATAAATTGAAAGTGATAGAAGTAAAATAAATAGAACAGTGAATAGTAACAGTAGTGTAAATAAATAGAATAATTACCGAAGTTTAGAAATAATTTAATAGTGTTTTTAAGTTTAATAGTAATTAGTGCAAATAAATAGTTTTCTTCGTAAAAGTTAATTTGTTAAACCCACGAACATTACAATATAGTAGAATAATAAGGTGATGAACAAGATGCTAATGATACATCCATAGATTCATCATCATCGTAAGGTCGTCAATCCTAAGAATGGTTGGACATGCACCTCCACTCCTTTCTATCCTGAGCTAATCTTCGTATTTCCCTAAAACTAGAACGTCCCACATCTTTAACTATTTGCGAACAGTAACCTAATCTAGATCTGCCTATACTCTTCTTGACTCTTGTTTGTACGTACTACTAATATGTCTCTGACTAGCTCTTCATGCCTGAGAAGGTGTCCTACTAACCTATCTCGTCTACTTCTTATTGACTTCCGTAATCCTCTATTCTCCTATTCTTTTTAATACCTCTTCATTTCTAACTTCCTCTATCCACGGTATCCTCATCATTCGCCAGTAAACTACATTTCAAACGCTTCTAATTTTATCTTTTGTGCCGCTTCCACAGTTCATGTTTCGCACGCATACAGCGCCGTGCTCTAAACATACACCTTTAACAAGCTTTTTCAAATTTTTAAATTAATCGTTCGCAAGTATAAAAGTGACTTCTTTTTATTGAAGGCGACTCGACCCTGCACTATCCTCTGCTTTATATCCCTACTACTCCTTCCGTCCTAACTTATCTGGCTTCCTAAATACCTAAAATAATCCACTTGTTCTATTTTTTCGTCTCCTATTTTTATAATCGTTCTTGCCCTACTTTTCTTCCCTTGCATACCAATATTTTTGGTTTACTTTTATTTATTTTGATACAATACTGTTTTGTCAGAACCAGTTCAAAATTTAAAGTTATCTCTAACTCATCTTTTCTAGATGCTGATAGTGCTATATTATTTGTATATCTATAAAGTTACCCTATCATTAATGATGTTTATCGCGTCCAATGTATAGATTAAAAAGTAACGGTGACAATGTGTATACTTAAATGACTCCCTTCTTAATATTCACTTTTCTACGTCACTGCTCGAGCTCTATAACCGCCTGTTGCTCTTTATATAAACTGCATATAAAAAATTAGAATTAACTCATCTTTTCTAGATGCTGATAGTGCTATATTATTTGTATATCTATAAAGTTACCCTATCATTAATGATGTTTATCGCGTCCAATGTATAGATTAAAAAGTAACGGTGACAATGTGTATACTTAAATGACTCCCTTCTTAATATTCACTTTTCTACGTCACTGCTCGAGCTCTATAACCGCCTGTTGCTCTTTATANCCAGTACTACATTAAATAATAACAAAATAGAATTCATGTGAAATAATTTATAATTTATTGTTAATGTAATGGTTGTTAATTTTATAACTTGTCATAAACATTGTTGGCATTAACTGCATCTGTTAACGCTTCAAACCACACACAATCATTAGTAAATTGGTAGTAAATAGAGGTAATAAACAAAATTGAAACTACATATCACTTTAAGTAAGGTTGTAATTAAATAAGCAATAACAGTAGTTTAAACTAATGTACGTTATAATTAGTTGTAGAACAAAAATTGTCTCTTTAAATTGTACGCCTTGCAATTATGAATCATTATTCATCGAAAACAGAAAGTATCAATGGAAATTGCAATCATTAGTTTACACAAAGAGTACAAAAATTGAACATAATATAATAGTTCACTAATTTCTTGAAACTACCAGTTCCTATAAACAATTTTTGTAATTAACCGATCGAATCGAAATTGCCACGTAAAAGTAAGCTACAACGCCGCGCTCCAGACATACACCTTTAACAATCTTAAAACATAATAATAATACTTTCCCTTTAAATTATGGTGTAGTAATCAGAGAAATTAATTCAAACCATAACCTAACCAAGTAAGCAAATGTTTCAGTTAAGAATCTACAGATTCATTTATCAAATAAAAAATATAATTATTTGTAAAATTAAATTTTATTGACACAAATACTCTAAAAGTAATTGATTTAGAGTTTCCATTGCAAAATTTCATTATGAGCGGTTGAGTTGTTAAGTGGTAAAATAGTAATAAACAAACAAAATCACATTCTCATTTATAATATTAGTAGGGCATTTCCTATTATTAATTTTTGCTTTTTCTAAAAGGAATATTTTAAGGATCTTAATTGTAATGATTTTTCACTTGTTTCAGATCCTCGGACAGCACAATGGCTGCTAATGAGTTCTCCTGGTCCTCTATTTACAATACTTGCCACTTACTTATATTTTTGCATTTCTGCAGGCCCTAGGTATATGAAAGACAGGAAGCCATATGAACTTAAAAATTTAATAATTCTCTACAACGCAGTACAGGTCGCTATGAGTATATTTTTGGTATACGAGGTAAGAATGACAAACAGAATCATAAATTAATTAAAATTTCAATTATACATATGTATATATCTACATTTAGTAGTCAAAAATACAATTGTGAGTACTAATCAATCCCAAAAGTAAAGTCTGCAGAGCTAACGCCTCGGTAAACTTTTTCTCGCGATTGTTTCTTACTATTCTCTAAAACAAACTGTCGCCATGTGCCGAATGTGAGCAGTTATTCGGTTTTCCAATGGAAAAGTAATAAATCCGTTAAAATTCTTCAGTAATTAACCAAAGTGTATGATAAGCATTATTTATAGAAAATGTGAATGTAAAAACTGTTCATCACCCACCCGCTGTACAGTTCGGATTTGGCACCTAGAAACTATTACTTTTTCTGATGTTGAATGAACAACTGATCGAAACGCATGACGACGGTCAAACGTAAAGACCTTATTTTTGGGATTACCCTAGCATTTCGAATCCTTATTTTTAAATCAGGGTGCAATAAATCGGTAAATATTAAGTTTTTTGCAGGGTTTACAATCAGGATGGTGGGGCCAATACAGTTTAGCATGTCAGCCAGTAGATTATTCAAATAGCCCTACTGCATTAAGGGTAAGTACTAAATACAGAGTATCCAACTTAATAACAACTTTTATTATTATTATTATAGTCCCAATATTAGTTCCAATTATTTATTTATAAATACATTTCCAACGCTTCATTTGTGTATTTTATAATAAATTTACAGATGGCTAGCGCAGTTTGGTGGTACTTCTTTGCCAAGATTACAGAACTTTTGGACACGGTAAGTTTGTAATGCATTTAAAAGTAGTATTGGTCACAAGAAACACAAAAATTACCAAAAAACACTTGAATGACAAAACTTGGTCAATTCTTCATCGATTCTAAAACATGTGCAGGCACCAACGTAATAAATGATAACACTTAAATATTGTACAAAATTTTCGTAATTCCACAAAAACAACTTCGTAGAAAACTTAGAGAAAAGTTTATTTACGTAAGTTGTTCTATGTTCTAGGTATATGCAAAGTGCTTGAATCGAATTTGAATAACACCATTGATGCTTAATAGAGCACAACTAATCAGTTAGCTCTCTGTTTTATAGGAGCATACACAAACCAAAATTGTATGTTTTAACGAAACCTGCCATATACCCACCTTTCGGGTTTTAGCATTTCTAATAAAGCAAGAATTATTCAGAATAAGGTTACATAAACATGCCAATTGCAAAATTGTTAAGAAAACTAGCACACGCATTTTCACTTTTATTTATGCACAGATAATATTGTGAAAATTACAATAATGGGAAACTTGTTTCGCGCAGGTATTCTTCGTATTGAGAAAGAAAAACAATCAGATCTCTTTTCTCCATCTGTACCATCACGCCATGATGCCCGTCTGTGCGTGGATTGGGGCCAAGTTTTTAGCAGGTGAATTAGATATTTTTTTAATAGCAAATTAACACTCATTATGTAATTAATCTAATAAATAAATGTATATGATATTTTAATATTACAGGGGGCCACGGTACACTTTTAGGACTCATTAATTCGTTTATCCATATTATCATGTACTCTTACTACCTGATTTCTTCTATGGGTCCACAATATCAAAAATATTTGTGGTGGAAAAGGCACCTGACGGCATTGCAAATGGTAAGTAGTTTTTTTTCGGTAATCGCCGTACAAATTCTGTTTAAATGATCTCAATATATTTGATCCATTAAATTTTTCTGGCAATTAATAGAAAACTGATAATCAAAATAAAAAAAAAACGACTAAACAACACACTGTTTTTATATGCCAATTTCGAAAAAACAAACCAACTAATAGTTCCTTTGATGCGATTAATCAAAATTATTATATTAACTATATATGTTAATTACTGGATGTATAAAAGATGCGTTGGGTAGCGCCATGGGTTTTACGATCATTTAAGGCAATCAAATTAGATAAAATACCATGTTCCAATTTTATGATTGAAATACGTAATTTTTGTATATGGAAATGATAGGTAGGGAAAGGTACTAAACCTAAATCCGTCAAAACTAGATAATAATTGTTTTTAGCAATTTATAGAGTAAGGTCTTCGTTAGAAGTTAAATATACCAGCTTGAGTTAGTGAAATAACCTACAAAATGAACTGGTAAAATTAAAATTGATTTATTTTCTATTCAGATATTTGCAAAAATAAGGTTTCGTTTAACAAAATTGTATAAAAGCCCTGTAATTTTGTACCTATGTAATAAAAAAATGTGCCATGTTTCAAATCGAAAAGTTTAGTTTTTTCTAGAATAAATATAAATATCGATTTTCAATTCGAAATTTCGATATTCCACTCGATATTTCGAGTTTAACCACAAAATTTCAACGTAGTACATTGAGTTATTCATCAGTGTTTGACTGTGGTTCAATTGGCGTAGTTGGATTAGGTTGGGTTAAGATTAAGTTTGGTTCAACCTAGTGAAAAAAACAATACAGATTTTACTAACGTATATGTCGTCGATTAGTTTAAATCAAGTTTTCTTATTCTTAACTTTCCCGTTTAAGAAAAATTTTAAATTACAATATTAGAATAATATTTGCAAAAATCATTTTTTACGTATAACTTTTTGAAAACATTCATTTATGAGCAAAATAACCGAGAAATTCTCTCTGTTAATTAAATATATTTTTGTTTTTAAAAGCATAATATATTTGTAGTAATTCCAGTTCATAAACAAATTATCATTAACGAATCTACATAGATGTTGTTTAATTATTATTGTCTTGTTACTGATCAATTAAAAAATAATGTCAATTTATGCAAATAAGTTTTTGACTCGACCATGGCAGTTACTGAATTGAAAATATTTTGAAAAATAAGGATTAGTTTATGAAGTGTTACCTTTTATGGGCACTATAATAGAACGTTAATACTGAATAATAATTACCGAATCATTGACTGTATTGCCATCTAACGAGATTGATACAACAATAACACAACACAATGTTCTTAGCAAAGCCCGACAGATGATGCTACTATGTACATTTACTTAATTGTAGAATATCATTGTATGCATACCTAAAATTCGTTATTTCAAAAAAAAAATAATAATAATTAAAAGTTATTAGTTAGTAGTTATTACTTGGTTCCTTAAAAGTACTCTTAAATTTCCAGTTAAGCAAATTACTAAATAATAGATAATTAAAAATTTCTTTAAAGAAAATCGGAGGTACTCTTTACATATTTACAGAATTACTTGAAGATCTAATTTATTCAGTTT